TAAGTTGTTCTCTTTCTTCCTCTTCTTCTACCCCACGCAACCCAGACTACAAAACAAATATTGACACACTCCTGGCATCTTATGTAAATGACACATGACAATAAACTTGATTGAAGAGGCAACTTTTACACACTGCCTTGTGGAGGATATTTAGGGAGAAGATTCCAGAGCTTAAGGCCCTGACAGCTGAAGGCACAGACACCAACTTCGGTACAATTAAAATAGGGGATGCACAAGGAAAGAGAATTGGAGGAGCACAGCAATGTCAGAAGAATGCTGGGTAGAGCTCACAGAGATGGGGGAGGGAAGTGAACCCATGGGGGTATTTGAAAATAAGATGAGATTTTAAAGGAAGGATGCACATTTTTTCTACATTCATTATATTCCTTTTCTTCACAGAATTGATAATGTACCAGAAGGGACAGACTAGTGTTGCCCCACTTTATGAGATCCAGCTCTGCTTTGGTGAGGAATGGCCAGATGGTAAACCCAAGGAAAAAAAGTTAATCATGGTGCAGGTAACAGTTTGGGATAATGCAGCCAGGGTGGGGAGTTGACTTCTCTGATGTGATGACTCTGTAATTCTTTGGGGTTTGCTCACATCTCTAGGCTCATACACATATGGGCAGAGTACTACTGGCTTGCTGCTGTCACCTTAGAATGGACACCCCACCCTGGGGAAGATCACACAATCTGAACACTTTCCATATGGGGAATACAACTGTCTGGACACCCTTTCCTAATGTCTAGATACACATTCACTCCTGTGAGTGGATTCTCTTCCTTTGAGAGAAAAGGATCTTGTGCCAAATATTTGCTGTTTATAAAAGTGCCTGTGTTGGTAAGTCAGCCACTTCGGGTGTTGCCAAGAATATGGTACCTACTATAAAGGAGATCCTGATCAGAAGCTGCCTTTTGGTAAACTCCATAAGAAGATAAAATATAGGAGCATAAGTAGGCCATTCAGCCCCTCAAGTCCATTCTATCATTCAGTGAGATTATGGCTGATCTGATACTTCTCAATTGCACTTGCCTACCCTATTACAATAACCTCTGGTTCCCTTAACAATTCGAAATCTGTCTCAGCCTTGAATGTGTTTGATGACATAGCCTCAACAGCCATCAATGTTATAGAATTCCACAGATTCACAACACTCAGAAAAGAAGAATCCTCCTTGCCTCTGCCTTAAATAAGTGATTCCTTACTCATTCAGTTATACCCTCTGCTCCTATACTCTCCAACAAGGGAAATAACTCCCTAATGGGAGTTCCGCCCTAATGGTGTTATGGATCTATCTACACACATTGACTGCAGTGGTTTGAGAAGACAGCTCACCACCACCTTTTCAAGAGATACAAGGGACAGGCAATAACTGTTGGCCCAGCCTGCAATGCTCACAACCCATGAGTAATAAAAAAAAACTGTCCTCATCTACCTTCAAGCCTTCAATCTTGTATGTTTCAATAAAGACTTATGAACTCCAGTTAGTGCATGCCCAATCCACTCTTTTGATAAGAAAACCCTTCTCTCTGGACTACCTCCAAAGCCGATTTATCTTTCCTTACATAAATGGACCAAAACCACAGTATTCAAGCTGTTGTCTGGCTAGTGCCTTATATAGTTTTAGCAAGACCTCCCTATTTTTATACCCCATTCCCGTTGAAATAAAGGCCAACCATTTCAACTTGAATTACAAAGTGCAATATGGTGATTTGACACTGAACCTTTTCCTTTTCATGATGTTTCAGGTGATTCCCGTTGTGGCAAGGATGATGTTCGAGATGTTTTCAGGAGAGTTGTCATTCGACAGTGGGAGTATCTGTCTGCAAATCTCGAATCCAGACCTTAAGGACAATGTGGTGTTTCAATTTAAAGAACTTCATCGATTACTTCAGTCCCAGCAGGGCCAGGGACAGTGGCCAGTACAGCCTACCAATCTACAATGATGTTACAAAGTGCCCAAGAGGAGAATATAAACATTCCAGAATGCTGCCATGGTTCCCGGGCTGTAATTCTAAATTTGCTGCTGACAAGTTTTAAAAGAAAACCAGGAGTTGGAGCCTAAAGAGGCAGTAGACAAACCCTTACTTTATGCTGTTTAATGCTGGAACTCTGAGTGGGAACATATAAGACAAACAAGCTCCCTTTATTCCTTTAATACTGATTTATGCATTTCCTTTTGTATTATTACCTTCTCTTTAAAGGATCAAGGGCCGCTTCATCCTGCTTCTATCAGATTGCAACATAATGGATGGCATAGCAACTACTCTGAGGCAACTCATTCTTAATCCTAATTTTAATAAAAAAAAGCACCTGTCAATGATTTAAGACCTCAGATCTGGGTGTCTAAAGATGACCAGTTTCCTTTCTATTTAGAAGTCATAGCTGACTATGTTTACTTATTGCGATCTTTTGAGGAGATTCGCTGTATATCACTTGTATAAGTAACAGTAGTTGCTACTGTGATGATCATTGATTTGGATTGGAAAAGCCTGCAGCATTGCTAACGGTAGAATCAGGAACCATCCATTTCCAGGTGTGTCACCAGTGTACTTACCTTCAATACTTGCTAGTTTTTGATTTATATATTTCTGCAAAATAAATATTTTCGGCTTTTTTAAAAACGTTTTTATACACTTCCTTTTTGGATTGACCTGTTGGGAAATCTAGCACTTCAGTATTATTTATGTCTTCAAAAGTGAATAAATGTTAAATTGAGGCCGATGAATACAACTCACTAGCATTCAGTCTGGGTTCACCCTGGCCACTCATTCTATGGAGCAAGTACTGAGTTAATGGATACTGTCAGTGGCATGACCTGACTAGTGAAACTCACTCACAATCTCAGAACAGTCATGGTGCTTCCAATCATGAAATGTGTCTGAAGAGAGCACTTTGAGTTGTATAACACCAGGGCACAGTACTAGTGAGTAAAGGTCAGTCACTGAGTAACATTGGATCAGTACTGACGAGCACAAATCCGAATTTGTATAACATGAGTAAAGAATTGTTAAGTACAGGACTTTCACTCCATAGAAATGAACTCGCTAATACTGTACTGCAGTGTTATCATTGGTAAAATGTGTACATAGATCTCTCACAGTATGACACTGACGTGCAGTACAAATAGCTACAGCTTCCTAATTGACGTTTCATTCTACAACTCTCTTCTGTACCATTTCAAGGCTTTGACATCTTAATGAAGTTTGGTGCTCATATTGGAATACAGTACTCCAGCTGAACAACCAGTGATTTATAGAGGTTTTGCATAATTTCTATGCTTTTATTTATAAAGTCCAGGAATAATGTATGCTTTAATAGAATCATAGGATACATAGTGTGGAAGCCTGCAATTTGGCCCACCAAGTCCATACCAACTCTCCGAAGAGCATCCCATCCATACCCATCCCATTACCTTACATTTCCCATGGCTAATCCACCTCGCCTCCACACCTTGGAAACAATGGGCAATTTAGCATGGCCAATTCACCTAAACTGCACATCTTTGGACTGTGGGAGGAAACCAGAGCACCTGGAGGAAACCCATGCGCACACAGGGAGAATGTGCAAACTCGGGAACCTGGCACTGTGAGGCCGCAGTGCTAACCACCGAGACACCATGCAACCTCAATAACATTAGTGAACCAGGCAGATATTTACAACAATGGTTACATGGTGGACATTAGAATAGCTTTCAATTCCTATTTAATTTAATTTTCATTAGCTGACACGGTAGGATTTGAACCCATGTACCCAGAACATTAGTCCGAGACTCTAGATCACTTCTCCAGTGACATTAACACCATGTCACTGTCTCACCTTACAAAGACGTATAGTCATGCTACCATAAATTATTTACTTATTTCTTACTTCCTTGATGCCCAAATTTTAGGGTTTAATCTATACCTGAACTCTGATCTTCCTTCTGGCCTCCCATTGCTTATTTCCATAGACAGAACTCTTGCAGCTGAATCAAGACTATACCAACTCACTTAATCTCAAACAATAGAATAACTCCTTCCATTCTGACAGAACAGGACTGGAACTAACCTTGCAGTTTTCTATTCTGTAGTCAGATGATTGGAATAGTTAACTGTGCTAATGCCACCTCACTTGATAGACTATATGGACTTTTTGTATCATGATATAAGGCTTGGAAGAGGCCAATGCTGTCCCAATGAATCTCATATGACAATATCCCGTGTACCCTTAGGTTTCTGTTTTCACTGGCAGCTCCCTCTTCAGAATAACACAAAGTTATTCTGCCCCTCCAGCTTGTTGCATTATTTAATCAGATCATGACTGAGAATTTATTTGTACATTCTCCAAATTTTGTGTAATGAAATCTGAACTGTTCAGTTTCCCTCTAAACCTGGGTCATGCCTCTAGGTACGTTGTTCCAGAGTGCAACAATATTTGCAGTTGTCCTTGTTACAATAAGTAGTTAGTTAACTGTTTTTTGTTGCAATGTTGATTCAGAAGATTTGTTTTTGCATTAGGGGAATTCTTAACTTCCTCTTTTTCTAAAATCACTGTTCTGCAACATCAGGGTCCTTTTCCCTTCCTCTTTTCAGAGACGAGAGTCATACAGCTACAGTTTTCTTAGAGAGAAAAAAATTGTTTTGTTCTGATCTGTATTGCTCTTGTTTGGAAGATTCTGGAGCAAAAATTGTAATTCAGGGTGAAACTATGCAGTGATAAATTGTGTACCCAGTCTATCTTAGTTACTCTTCAGCAGGTTTAGATACTGTGCAGACTGTGTTACAGTGTGACCCATTATACCAAGGGTTGAGCATTGAGCACAAACACATTCTCAACATTTCCGCAGCTGACGTGTATTTGAACCATTGATGTCAAATTTTAGTGTGACGTGTTCAATACTTTTGCAACATGTGGAAACAATTTTAACTTAACCTTCCCAGTAGGGAATTTAAACTACAGGATGAGCAGACTTGTTCTCCGTTGGTTACAATAGTTGGGTTGACAGTCCCTACCTGAACCAGGGTTGCATGATGCTAATAGGAACTTTTGGGGTGAGTAGAATGTTACTAAAGATTATCATCTTACAGATTCAATAATGAACTTCCAAGCTGCGCAATAAATATTGTCTGAACTTGATAAAATATTTAACCACCCAGGGAGCAGGGCTTCAGTATTGCCTTAGGCAGTAAATTAGACTTGTTTCCATAGCAACAGACACCTCTTGTATTTCAGGTTTGATCAGTGTTTAAGGTTTTTCACAATGATCTTACAGAAAAGACAGGAATGGGACAGTCTAGTTGCTAACAACCACTTGTACCCCATTTAATTAATATATTGACCTACAAAAACAAGTACTGTATTATCATTTCCGGAGGACTGTACATAAGTTATTGTAGTGCTATGAGGAAGTCCATCACCCCTTATTTATCCACAAGTTAAACAACCTCAAGACGAGTGGTTTGGCAGATGCAGGTTGAGTTTGATGCATAATTGCTGATTACGATTCCCAATCACTTGCTGTCTGAAGCAGTGTAAAAATGTGGAAACATGACAGAAAAGACATGAGGACACAGAGGTCGCAATTGGGGAAAAAATATCAAAATATAAATTGAACTTATCACATGCTCACTGAGAAAGCAAAAAAAAAAAGGGTACAATTATGAATGGATTGAGACGAATATATAATTAAAGACTGATAAAGGCTCTTATGGTGCAGCAGTAATTTCCCTAACTCTGACGTTGCCTGGGTTCAAGTCCCACCTGCTCTAAATGTGTCATATGTCTATACAGGTTGATTAGAAATATCTATGATTAAAGATTTTCAGTTTGAGAAATTATAACTAGGAGCCAAAATAACTGCTTCTGTTTATACATTTTCTAAGTTGGTTTGCAGGGATGCTAGGTAACAAATCACAAGAGTGAGGACAGAAGGAAAGTAGGAAAGTAAAAAGATAGGATTTGAGAGAGTATGAGTGCCAGAAAGGGTCATGGAAAGACTTACAGCATCATGCTTAGCTAGCTGAAGACACAACCACTCAGTAGGATAGTAACTGATGTGCCATGCATTCACTTCTTATAAAGGACATTACTATAGCAGTGGCACAGCATGCATCCTATGCATTAATCCCATTTCTAAATTCACACCACAATTTAAAAAAAAACATCTAAGGTGGTCTCCTAAACCAGGTGCCATAATTGGGTTCTCAAATGGCTGTTGGAAACTCCATGGAAGAAGTTGTTTCTTTCAAATGTCGATGAGCAGAACATGTGTCTTAAAGACCTACATGTAAAAAAAAAAATCCTAAATTGTACACACATCCTGGTTTACTATTATAAAATTCAAGATAACAATAGTTCTGCAGCAATTAGAGTCCTACAGCTTTCATTCTGAAAGAATAAAGTACAAGGTGCAGAAAAAAAGTTCTACAGAAACGATGTATAGTCAAGATCCCTGGTTACACTGCTGCACGTGTATATGTATGGGTTAACAGAGGATCAAGTATGCCCGTCATTCCTCTAAAATTAACCAACCATCCCTTACATTGATGCATTTCATGTGTTAAGCGTACCTATGGGCCTAGTGAATTAGGAAGGTTACAGTCCTGGTCTTGTGCAGGTAGCTAAGCAGCAGTGTACAACAGTAGGCTCTTCAGAACATCCAGCTAGGGGCTTGATTCATTGTGTTCAGTCAGATGTGCAATTTTAAGAGTGGACAGACTCAGACTTGAATATGACATCCCTGAAATCAAATAGGTAGACGCCTACCTTCCACATAAAAATCATTGCCTATGATCCAAGAGAATAAATACTGGTTTCAGTAAAGCACTCCCAAATTTTGCATAACTTAAACCCTAGCAAGAAACTGCAGTGGAAGGCAGGAAAGGAAATTTTATAAATACAAAGTCAGCATTCCTCCAATCAGACCCCAAGCATAACCCCGAGCTTCCATTCAGTTGCCATTTTAATTCTCTATCCTACCCTATTTGAATAAAGCTTGAGGAGTAACATCACCTTTCAATCCAGCAGTATACAGCCTTTCAGACTTAACATTGAGTTCAATAATTTCAAATCATAATTATTCTTCCCAATGTTTTTCTGGCACATGCTGATGATTCTGCTTCCAACCTTAACTCTTGTCTAATTAACACTTTTCTTTCCCCCCCTTGCACCTCACACCTTTGTGATTTAAATATTTCTTCCCAACCTCTTTGGTTGCTTTAAACCTGTTACATCTGTAACATTTTCCTGTTCAGGGGGTCACAGATTACAAACAACTGTTTTCTCTCCAGAGATGCTGCCCTGTTCAGTTAAGTGTTTTCAGTGTTTCGTTTTTTCTTAATAACATTTTTATTTACTTGCTACACAAGACCTCCTTCCCAGCTCCTGCAAACGCAGCCTTCCTCAATTTTTTCACTGCAGCTCAGATCCACATCTTCTCATTGCACGAGACTGTGCCTCGACAAGGAACTGGCTTCGGATCATCCCTAATTCATCATCCACACAATCACTGTGTCCTTGTGACACTTGGTAGTCTCTCTACCTCTGGGCCAGGTGGCCCAAGTTCAAGTCCCACCTGCTCGAAGGTGTGTAATAACATCTCTGAACAGGTTGACTGGAAAATATCTACACCCATGCAAACATTACAACTAACAGACCTTACCTCTCATCAATCTGAATTGGTTTACATCAAAATCCCAGAGGTGAATTCACATTAACTGACTTTTTGAGACAACCAGAGAGGCCCTCGCAAAAGTCTCCCCCTTTCCAAAGTAGCCCGACTTTCCCTCAGGACTTAGATTATGACAAAGACAAGAAATGTCATTTATTTTGAACACACCAAATCTTAAGTTTCTTTCAATGCTTTTCTCTATTTAAAAAGTCTTAGCATTAACATTTCTGAAGAGCAAGCTTACAGCTAACAGTAATAAAAATCAAATCAAGAAGTGAAATTGCTCAATCATAATGCAGCGTCAAATGAATCACATGTTCCTTATTTTAGGAAGGCAACTCCCTTTACCAGTTCAGTGACTCGGAGCATATTTTGCAGCATATTATGGAAGCAAATGAAGCGTCCTTTCATTGGACCTCTCCTCATCACAGTTCGAAATTAGCTTCTTTCCTCTCCCAAAGGGTATGGCACACTAAGGGAGGAGAATTTTTCAACTCTTTTAATTCAACAAAGGGGTGAAACAGACACAGGTTGCAATGACCTGTGGTGTTTGAAATTGAAGTTACAATGCCCAGGCCGAGTTAGGAGCTGCAAGGTCACGTTAAAAAGCTTCTTAATATTGTTAGCCGGAGAACAGTGAACATGTGGAACTTGCTCCCACATGGAGTAATATAGGCAAAAAGCGGATTCATTAAGGGGAGACTAGGGAAATACAAAAGATATAAAGGAACAGATGGAAATGCTGATAGGTTGATTCGTGCAAAGCAAAAACTCCAACACAGCAGATGGGTTGAATGGCCTCCTTCTTCATTATAAATTCTATTATGCTGGAACTTCACTATAAAACAGGCAAACACATTTATTGGTTATTTTTTTTTTTTAATTGTTCTTGAGATGGTTACAACACCAGATGGAACAGCACTTCCGCGCACTCATTCCCCCACAACCCACCTTCCACCCGCCATCTCCTGGGACTCCCATCCTTTACACCCAGCTTAATAGTGCTGTCCACGTACGCTTGTGTAAACAGTCACTGTCCACACACCCCTTCACGCTTTTGTTTTTATTGACCCGTTACTCGGTCTCAGTCAATATCTTCACAACCAATGGAAACTCATCCACCCCCTCCTCACTCAAGGTCAGGCTCAGATCCACAACTCCACATCCCAGAGATCCATGGCTCCGTTTCTTTATTAATGCTCTTCCTAAATTTTTTTTTAAGTTGTGACACAGCTGAGGTTTCATAGACCCTTCTGTCATTTGTCCATTAACCATGAACACTAAATATGATTTTCATTTTAGAAATCATTAAGAAAGTCTCTTGTGCTATGCACAATAATCGCCCCAGGCCCATCCCACCCTCCCCTCCCTCCCAAAAAAAAACAAACTCCTCCCTGAAGGAACTCTGGCTGATTTAAAAGCTGGTTTATTCTAGATCCTCCTTTTACATACAAGCTTGAGGCAACATAATTTCCACCACCTGTCATTTTGGCATGCTGTTGATCCCCTGCTGAAGCCATCTTGAAGCTGGGAGGGGGGCAAAAAATCCTGGACTACCCCATTTCTGCATGCCCTGATGCACAATGCCAGGGAGGCTGCACCCATGTGGCGTTATGCAGTAGGGAGTTTGGCACTTTTCTCCCAGCCTACAGACCTCTGCTTGTGATTTTTTGCCCCGTTTGCTCTCGCTGGGAACCGGCCATGGCATTTTGGGTTCATATTGATTTGCATTTCCGGTCTTTTTTTTTGAGACACAGTCCTCTGTGGAAATGAAAAGCAACAATTTTAGAAAACCTTACAAAAGCATTCAAGAAATTATCTATGTTGAATAGAAATGAATAAAATATATTGATTCTGAAAATACAGTTTTCACTTCATTTCTATGAAACCCTGAATACCTCTTACTAAATCATCAGACTGCATATCCAAGATACATTGCTGGATGAACAGAAATTTTCTCCAAACACTAGTAAGACTGAAGCCATCTGTTTCCATCCCTGTTACAAATAATGTTCCTCAATTACCAACATCATCCCTCTCCCTGACATTTATAAGCAAAGCCAGGCCAATCACAATCATTATGTCATTTTTGACCACAAATTTATTGCAAAACTCCAATTCATGCCTTTGTTATCTTTAAATTTGACTATTCCAAACCAACTGACCAGGATGCCACAATCTACTCTTCATAAACTTAAGATCATCCAAAACTGCTGCCTGTATCCTTATGTATCAAAACCTGTTCCCTGGTCACCTGTGCCTGCTGATTTACTACATTAACATCCAGCTAACCAACTTCTCAATTTTAAAATTCTTATCCTTTTCAAATCTCTTACATACTAGGGGATACACAATGGAGCCCACAAGGTCAGAAAACATGACTGTAGGATGACTTAAATAGGCAGGATGGAAAATTTAAACGTCCTGCTGACAGGTTGAGATGCATAAATAAAATTAGCGAGGTGTAGAACTTTGCTGCCTACGGCAGGTTGCTACTCATAATACATTTGCAAGCCATGAATACTCATTATTTTTAAGAAGGTTTTACACTAATGTCCTGCATTCAAGATAAAGACACAGGAGAACTTTGTGGTATTCAGCTCGCGATCATTTAAAGGTCAGCTTTGTGCAATTGTATACGAGGTCAGCATGTTTCCTTGTTTTAACTCTATAACACAGAGAGGGAAGCATTGAGTCCAAGACTCATCAGGAATCAGTGGTAAGGGGGATTTTGAAGTAGGAAGAGTTCTGATGTAATGGGTAGGAGTGGAGTTGAGAAAGGGCTGGGTGGGAAGAGAGAGAAAGAGAGAAAAGACATGCATGTCCACTTTGGATGTTGGCTAGCACAGTCCTTAAAAAGGGCTCTGAGTTATAGAATCAGAGGTTTATAGCACAGAAAAGGGCCCTTTAGCTGACTGAGTCTACACCAGTCAAAAACAACCACTTAACTATTCTAATGCCATTTTCCTGAACTTCGCACGTAGCCTTGTATGCCTTAGCACTGTACATTCGTCCGTAACATTTCAATTTCTCCTACTAAGATTGATCTCAGACAATATCCTTTTAAGATATAAAAAGGTGGGTAGCTGAGCTTGCAAGTTCATCCATGTCCCACAGAGTTGCAACTACAATCTTGGACACTAATGTGAACACACTGAACAACAGAAAATTTTACTGTAGTTTTCACAATAAAGGAAATATCCCATACTCACCTGTAACCAATAAATGTCAACTATATGGTGTGCCAATATATTTAGCTCTCTGACTAAGTGTCAACAAGTTAGGATAATACACACATGAATAGAGGTAAAACGAATGTAATGTGAAATATTTACAGGCTAAATTTAACTTTGCAAAACATTTTTGCTCTCAATTGTTATGTTGATTGTGCTATAATTAGGCAGTAAAGTGGCTACCATGATGCAGAGACTCCCTATTTGACCAGGAGACTAATAAGCTGCCCGTTGATGCAGCATCGTCAACAGACAGCAGGTTTCACTAATGAAAACCTTCCCCTGTTGTTGTATCAGCCATACTTTACATGCACTCTGCTGTCACTTTGAATTTTAATTATCATTGTGTGGGAAACAACAAAATGAAAGAAAATAGAAGTAACACACATGCAGTTGACGAAATCCTGGTCCTAATCTCTAATTCCTCCAACCAAAGAGGCCAGAGAGGTTAACCACCATCATCTAGTTCTTGATGATCCTAATCTTCAAAACTCTATTATTGGCAGCTGTGCATTTAGATGTCAAGGATCTAAGCTCTGGAATTTCCATTTATTCTTTCCTTTTTTAAAGACCTGCCTTGAACCTACAATTTTGACCAAGAGTTTTTTTGGCCATTTGCCCTAAAATTGCCTGTGTCAAATTTTACTTTATAGTGCTCCTTTGAAGCACCAGTGGAATGTTTAATTTTCCTGAAGGTACTAAATACAAGTTGATATAGAAATTTAATCAAAGCTGGATGGGGCAATGAGTCAAGGATTGACATCTCATTGCTGGAATCTGAATCCTAATCAAACTGGTCTGTTTGGTTCATTTGTAATATCATGTTGAACAGTCCCAAACCATTCACACACCACACCAGAAGCTTGTATTTACAAATCCTTCACTGCAGGCAGAGGAAGAAGGGATCATCAGCGGTGACTTAAGTTTCAGGGGCAAGATTTCTTCCAAAATGAAGTCAAGGATGGGTGAGCCTCCACCTACTGAGTGAACATTGTTTTTTTCTGCACAATCAAGGATTCTGTGGTAAGAAAACATAATGGGTAATAAGACACCACCGCTTATACTCAGGATTCGTTGAAATGGGACAATCACTTCTTTAAGTTTAGATAATCAGATCAGCCCTGGTCTCATGGAATGACTGAGCAGAATCGATGGGCTGAATGTCCTACTACTGTTCCTATGTCTTCAAGTTTTGTATTCTTAACAGGCTACAGCTAGCTCAGTTGGCTGGACAGCTGGTTTGCGACGCAGAGCGAAGCCAACAGTTTGGGATCAATTCCTGCATCAGCTGATGTTACCATGAACGATGCTCCTTCTCAACCTCTTCCCTCACCTGAGGCGTGGTGACCCTCAAGTTAAACCACCGCCAGAGGATTCTCATAGGCAGCATAGTGACACAGTGGTTAGCACTGCTGCCTCACCCTGCCAGGGACCCATGTTTGATTCCAGCCTTGGTCAGCTATGTTGAGGTTGCACACTCTCACCATGTCTGCTCTTCAGAGGGTTGAGATGAATGGCCTCTCTCTGCACCGTAGGGTTTCTATGAATCTCCTTCTCAGCCTCTCCCCTCGCCTGAGGCTAAACCACCACAGGTCTGACTGTAAAGAGACAGCAGCCCTACGATTTGTTGACTGGAACTTTACTGACAAGCAAGTTAGTCGAAAACTTATCCAGGAATGCTTGATGTTGAGACTTCATATAAAATCCATTAATTCTGACACAGAACCCCTCTCTAGGCAAGCAGGCAATCTCAGTGAATTTCAGAAAGACACAGAAGGCAGTTTGATAGAAAGTCCCTGAGTCACAGTTGAAGGTTGTAAGATGAGGAGGCCATGTGGCAAAGGCGCCATAGAATAAAAAGCAATGAAACTTCCCTCAGTGCCTCAGTGAGAGACTGGAAGATTCTCAGTTGACGGACCTCAGGAGAGATGCCTACTTGGCTACTACTACTTGTCTTGGTGGTGACGAGTTCTGAAGAGGAAATTTACCAATGCTGCAATAGGATGGATCCGTACTAGATATGGTATGCAAGTGAGGACAGTATATAATATCTTCAACTGCTCAATGAGGGAGAGAGATAAAAGAGGGAGGGAAGAAGAGAGACACAGACTTTAAACTCTCCTCAAACAAGATGGCGAATAAGAGACATACATCCATAATTCCAACATGCTCAGCTCATCTTGGGCTCAGAGACCGATTAACATTGAAGAGTTATTTTTGTGATGAGAAGGACTATTACATGAAGTGAGGAGGGGCATATTCGAAACTTACAACAAGACCAACCTCAAACAGGAATGGCCCAGCGTCATTTTCCCTCCCCTGGTCCTTTTCATATGGGGGATTACAGAATAGTTGATTGGCCCAGATGGACCAATAGTTGCATTTTATGGAACCCCTGGACCAGGAGGCCTGGGTTCAAGTCCCACATGCTCCAGAAGTGTGCAATGACATCTGTGAACAGGCTGATTAGAAAAATAGGTCGAAGTTCTTACCTGGGAGACTGATGCAAGTCATGGATTTGTGAACACAGCTATCGGAAGAGGCGTGTGAAATCTCTCAAAGCCCAGCAAACTTTCTTACATTCATCAGCACTGCAAAAGGTTAAACAGATGCATTGGAAATCAACATAGCATTAGGTTAACTTAACACAAGAGTACAGAGTTAAATTAACATCCATCTACATAAATTACTAGCATAGAGCAGTAGATTAAATTAACAGAGCAGTGCGTTAAAGTAAGATGGGGTAATGGATCTCATTACACTAAATTACATAAAAAGTAGCACATAGCTGTAGGTTATTGTAATGCTCCATTTATCTAGGCTCACAACAATAAATGTACATAATCACAAGGTTGCCGCTGGAACTGCTATAAAGTGAAAAAGATTAAACATTAACTCTATAATGTGCAAAGGAACTTGGACAAAAAGTTCAATGTTGATGATTCGATGACTGAAAGATCAGGTAATATATAGTAAAGGCAAGTGTCAAGAAAATATGTCTTTTTTCTTAGTTGAATGAGCCTCAGTTGAGGTGAACTCTGCACAGTCAGAATTAACTGCTCTTTCAGACAAACCTCCTGCCCAAGGGAATTTTTTTCTAAGCTTTGATTGCCCACGTCAATTTCTTTTTCTTCTATCTCATGCTGGGTGATAGTGATGGTGGGGGTGCAGCGAGTTGCCCATGGTTAATCTCAAGTGTGAGGGACATTGGGTCTTAAGGAAGATAATCATTGTCTGCACACATTTACACTATCCAGCAGGGAGGGTCAGTGGATCACAATCAGGAACCCTAGCTATCAGCAACTTCTTGACCCAAAGTCAGAATCCTACAGCTGCCTACTAATGTTAATATACTCCACTCTGATTCAAAATCAAACTCTCAAACTCCCTGATTACTGGCTGAATGAACTGACTCAATGAGGTCAGTGAGTCCACCCAGCTCACCATCCAGAGAATCTTTTGTACAAATTATTAATAAAAAATCCAATTGCAAAACCCACTATAGTGAAAAAGCTATTTCCTCTACATGTGGAATGAAATGAAGGCTTTTGTAAGTGAGCCAAAAGGTGGTGTTTTGCTTTGTTTAATTTGGCATATGGGTAAGGATCATGAAATAGTCAGTCAGGTTTTGACCAACTCAATCACAAGTTTACATGAGTAAAGTTTAAGTCGAACGCCAGAGAGCTATCATTCATTAAAACACACATGGATTGTCAATGAAGACCACAGCTTCGAACTGAAGTTTATAAAGCTATGATTTACATTTAGTGCCTGAAATTATAGCATTGCCATACTTTTGGGTGAGGCTGTACTGGAACGACAAAGAAGTTAATTAACTCTTTCCGGAGCAGTAGAATAAAACCATAGAACGGTTAGATAGAAAGAGGTCATTCAGCCCACTGCATCTGTGCCAGTTTAATAAACTCACCACCCATTTATCCCACTTAACAGCAGCTGCTCCATAGCTTTGCATGTTACAGCACTTCGGGTGCAGATCCAAATTCCTTTCAAATGATGAGTGTTCCACCTTAACTAAATTGGGCTGCAAATTCCAGACACCCACTACTCTCTGGGTTTAAAAAAAAAAGTTAATCACCAATCACCTTAACTCTGTGCCACTCGGTAACTGACCATTCCACTAAGAGAATCAGGTCTTACCTGTCCAGTTTATCCCTCATTATTTTGTCTACCTCAATTAAGTCACCCATCGGCCTCTCTGTTCTAAGGGAATGAAACAACCCCAGCCTATCCAATCAATTATCACTGAAGTAAAGAGGCAAAAGATAAACTCAACCAATGTCACCATTATTGCTTCTTGGTCAGCTTGAGTGACAGCAGAATCCAGTTTAGGCGTAACGCTAGATTCAAAAATCAATTTTGCACAGAAACACAAACAACCACTGACTCATCCAACATAACCATTTTCTTTCAACTTATTAGCATCAGCATGATCTCAACCTTTTGATTCAACTCTCTACTGTTCAGAGTTAAATAATATAGAAAGCATTTTCAGATCACTAATAACTCAGGAGGCATGATTTCAATCCAAGCCATTCCTGACTACAACGTGTGATCACACAGACTAGTCAGACCATTATGTGCAATTCAAGTCAGAACTTGCTCAGTACTAACACTGTACCATATGGAAAAACCTCATGATTGTTTGAAGGTAGAAGTCAGTCAGCTCTTACACAGGTCTGAGCATGTTGTTGATTGTTAATTCATTGAATGCTTTCTTACTCTGTAGCTGGCCCCGTGTTAGTTTGGTTTGCATTGATAGAATAACACTGGGAAAATGTCATGTATTCATTGAGCTGCAATCTCTGAGTGTCACTACATTATTTTGTTGTGCTAGACCTATTAAGAAGACCTCAGTAAGGTAATCTCACCAGTTCCAGAGAATGCTGTAAACACTAGATGTCAAAGGGGGAAATCTTCCCAATTCTCCAACTGGCATCTCCCACCTTCCCAAAATGTCAGTAAACCTATTAGGACATGGCTAGCTTTGCAAGCCCACTGACCAGTTATGCTCACACCTGCTCTCACCTGGTGACTTGCTTGTGGAAGTCAGTCAGCTGCTTGTGTGTTACTGTGATAGCACCCCCTGCTGTCTCTTTAGGTAATGACTTGAGTGAAGCTTCCAACCATCGGCAAAAGGTCTAACGGGGACAAGAATGAAAAAAAAGATTTATGGAAAGTATCCTGAAAAGACACTAGTGTTAAGGGGGAGAGTTGGGAAGGGATTAATACACATTCCCCGAATACACTGTCTAAGCTTCAGCGAGATGGGACTTCTGGGTTTTGATAAAAACAGGTGTCCTTTAAACAGGCAACATAGTACCCAATTGAATCAATTTTTTAATATAAATACGAAGAGGAAGTGCAATCAGGTTTCCGTAACACGTAGTTACATATATATTGTGCTTTTACTCATTCAGACAAAAACATGCGTTAAATGCTCTCACATACACTTTCAGATAGCAGGAGTGCAGTTTAACGGAAGGCATTGATTAACTTGCCAGAGACACCAGGTTATGGAGCAAAGCACAGCAGCAACATTACGCCTGAATACACACAGACATTTGCATCTACTCCTGATTCAAGTATACAACAGCCTCGTTACATGGGCAGATCAAAAAGGCAGAACACCAGAGTCTAACCTTGGACTAGAATGTTAAATTGAAAGATCTCAAGACACTACAAAATTGAAAATTTCACAGTAGTTGGTTGGTTCTGTTATAGAAATAAATCTTCAGAGTTGCTGCACCATGTATTGCAGATGAGAAAAACACTGCTCTCTGCACAACTGTTCCATTAATGCACTGTTGGAAATCTATGAAATCCTGCTTAGCCAGGTATCACTAATTTCAGAGCATTTAATATTCAAAGCATCACAGAAGGCCAACATTTGGTCCCATAATATTCTGCACCAAAGATCTGACTCCAATAATCTCATTCTCCAGTTCTTAGTCCACAGCCCTAGAGGCTATGACGATGCAAAAGAACATAGAAATAACACTTTAGTGTTACAAGAGTTTCTGACTCAACTACCCTTTCAGACTGTGAGTTCAAAACTCCTACCACTCCTAGGTGAATAAAATTCTCAAGTTCCCATTAAGCCCTGTATCCCTTAGCCTAAATCTACGGCCCTGGTATTGGTCCCTCTACTAATGGAAAGAAATTGCATTTTTATCCATGCTCTGCCCCTCAATTGTATACACCACTATCAGATCTCCTCTCAACTTTTGCTCTTCCAAGAAAAACAACCAGCCTATCCTATCTTTCCTCATCGTTCTGACCCTCCAGTCCAGGCAACGTCCTGGTAGATTTTGCCTGTACTGTCTAGTTCAATCACATCATTCCTACAATACGGTAATCAGTACTACTCATAACCTGACCATATTTTATAGTTGCAAATACCATCCTAGTTTTTGTGTTCTATGCCTCTGCTAATAAAGCCCAGTATTCCATCTGCCTTATTCACCATAGCTACCTGCACTGCTACATTCAGGGATCTGTAAAGATGCACACCACGATTCCTCTGACCTTCAAAACTCCAACATCTCACCATTCATAGCGTAATCCTTTGCCTTGTTAGCCCTCCTAAAGTGCATTACCTCTCACTTTTCTGGGTTGAATTCCATCTGTCACTGTTCTGCCCACCTGACCAATCTGCTGACATCCCACTGCAGTTTACAGCTATCCTCCTCAATTTTCATGTTACATGCCAACCTTTTGAGCACATCCCCTACATTTAAGTCCAAATCATTATCATTAACATACACCACAAATGGAAAGGTCTCCAGCACTGAGGCCTAGGGAGCCCCGCTGAAAACGGATATCCTTTAAAACAAATATTTCTCAATCATCACCATCTTACTTCTTGCCTTTTTTACAATTTTGGATCTAAAGTGCCGCTTTGTCTTGATCCATTGGGCTCTTACTTTCTTGAACAATCTGCCATGAGGGACATCATCAAATGCCTTGCTAAAGTTCATGCAGACCACATCAAATGCATCATTCTTATCAATATTCCTGGTTATCTCCCCAAAAGAATTCCATGAAATCTGTCAAACATGACTTTTCCTGAAGAAACTGCAGATATATTCTGCTCCTCAATTCTTGCTAATAAAATTTTCCACCACTAAGGTTAGACTGTCAGATCTGTAATTTCCTGGTCTATCCCTTGCTCCTCCTTCCTTTTTTAAAAAATACTTGGACAATTCTAGCAGATTTCCTCTCCTCTGACACCTCATCTGTGGTCAGAGACGATTTGAAAAATTACTACTAGGGATCCTGATATCTCTTCCTTTACGTTTCTCAACAGCCTAGGATTTCTCTCAACCAGGCCTGTGGACTTATCCATTTTAAGGCTGCTAAACTCACTTGTACCTCCTCTCTCTTGATATTAATTTCTTCAGATGTTTCACAATCTGAAGTGAATTGTATTCAACAAGGACAGTGCCCACATCTTTCAGGTCCTTGCACAGATTACCTCTATTGTCCCAAACGGGCCCTACTTTTTACTTAGTTATTCTCTTGCTCTATATTTTTTTCCTCTTAAAAATGGGTTTTCCTTTATTCTACATGCCAATGTTTCTTCATTCACTCTTAGCTTACCCAATTTATTTTTTGAAATTAACCCCTACAATTTTTTTATACTCCTTAAGGGACTCTGTGATGTGGAGGTACCAGTGTTGGACTGGGGTGGACAAGGTCAAAAATCACATGTCACCAGGTTTATTTGAAAACACAAGCTTTCAGAGCCTCGCTCCTTCTTCCAGGAGTTACAGAGAGAGGTGGCATCAGACAAAGACTTTATAAGCAAAAGATCAAAAGTTCATAGAACAGATGTGAATGTATTGAACAAACCAATGTTGGCTGTTAAATCTTTAATCAGTTAGAAAGGAGGTACAGATTTCAATTAATTAATATGCAAATCCCAGAATTTCCTTCGAGTCCCTCTCCCATGCGCACACACTCTCTCACACACATAAATCAATAGGGTGAATTTGCATTTGCAGAACATTCTATTTTGTTCAAAAAGCACACACACAATTTGTAGAGAATGTGGCATTTTATAAATTCCTACTTTGGAAATAAAACCAGTCTGACTCCAAGTTAAAACACAGACAAATTCTATATAAGGCCTCACACTTAAAATGCATGGTCTGACCTGAGATGTTACCGCTGGTATACTATTAAAACCTTTAGTTATCTTGGGGCAGTGACTTGAAAGAAATTCTGGGATTGGCATTTTAATCAATTGAAACCAGCATCTCCTTGACAACTGATTAAAGATTTAACAGCCATCTTGGGTTTGTTCAATACATTCACATCAATTCTATGATCCTTTGCTTTTGCTTATAAATTCTGATGCCACGTCTCTCAACAACACCTGAAGAAGAAGCAAGACTCTGAAAGCTTGTGTTTTCCAACAAACTTAAGGGACTCTGTGATATTGAGTCCTCAGTATCAGCTACAGTCTGCTCTTTTTTTCTTACTCCTAATGCTTATCTCCCTCCATAGCCAGGGCTCTCTGGTCTTGGTGCCACCCTTTGTCTTTACAGGGACATTTTTGTCCTGTACTCTTGCTATTTCCTTCTTGAATGTCTCCCACTGTTGACAGTTTAATCTGTAGTAACTGCTCCCAGTTCACTTAGGGAAAATCGTATCTTAGTAAAATTAGTATTTCTCCAGGTTACAAATTTTATTCCCAGTCTACCCTTATCCTTTTCCATAACTATCCTAAATCTGTGTGACTGGTCATTCAGTTCTGGAACTGCCTTCACTTAATTCCTCACTTTGCAACCACGTTGTTACATGGAGATACTAAAAAAGCTGGAGTCATTTTCTTAACAGCAGAGAAGGGGAGATTTAGGGACTTTTTCAAAATTATGAAGGACTTTGACAGATACGATTAAAAACTGTTATCACTAACAGACCAATTGAAATCCAGAGGACATGGATTTAAGGTGTTCACTAAAGACTCAGGGAAATTGGAAGATTTTTTACAAAATGAAGCGAGTTGCTAAGATCTGGAATCGTTTGTAGGAAGAGCTGTGGAAACAGTTTAATTAAAATTTCTAATGATAATTGGATAAACACTTGAAAAAGGAGAATTTTATAGGTCTAGGAGGAAAAACCGGGGGTAGGAGGGGTCTATTTGGATGGATCTTCCAAAAAGCAGCAAAGGCATATAGGCCTGAATAGTCTCCTCCTGTGCTTTACGGTTCTATGACAGCAGAATCTTGCTTGAAGGTCATAAGATCAGTGAGTGAATCAGAAAATGCCATGCCATGAAAGCGTTTTGAATAATATGCCCATCTACCCAACCTTAATTAACAAGATAAAGCCTCCAGCCATTAATCAGATACAACTGTGACCTTACCGCTCTGTCGATTTGCATGATTTCCCATATAACCTCTGCTAGATCCGGCAAGGTATACGGGGGAAGGCAGAAGCACACAGCCTGGAGCAGTTGATTGACTAGTTGTTGACCATGTTGGGTCATCACCTGTTTGATTAGTTCCTTTCGCAGTTCAAAGTCATCCTCGTGCTGTGGGAGCGAGATCCAATTATTAATATTTTTTTTTGTTCAGTCCGTTCAGCCATTGTTGTGAAGTTGATTCATAACTGTGTGCAGGTATGAAAACTCCGTTCTCTAAAACTGAGAAATCTTAATGAATTCCACATTACAAAACAGCAAGCGAAACTGCAAAGAAGGCATGATGTGTCAGTAATCAGTGCTGAGGTTGACTTCAAGCTTGGCTTTTGAAAGCGTTCAGAGCGTAGCACTAAGCTTTGGTTTTGTAGAACTTTATACTGCAACAAGGTTGGATTTCAAGATTTTAGAGACTGCAGACATTAATGGCAGATCAGAGCAAAGTCCCACAATTTTGGAGAAGGCCAAGTTTCAGCGTGGGACAGGGAACCTTATTTTAAGGTTAGTAGTTCAGTAATGTGACAGTACTGATATCCTAACATCCATATGTGGTGTATACGAATACATTATACCTTTAGTACATGGACAAAGATGATATCTGCACATATGGTGAAGGCTTAACAGCTCATCATACCTAGCAAATATTTTAGTGTTTTTCATACAGGATCTATATTGAAGTAAAGAAATAAGCCTAATGACACCGGATTAGGTATTCATAAATAGAGGCTATTTCTAGAACCCGAACTGTAGTGGAACCTTGACAATAAAAAGAAAAATAAATCTTTTCTGAGCAAAGTTCATGCAGCACTCAGATGTACAAAGCCATTTTTCACAAGGCCCCACGATTAACTATCATTGGGTATTTTGGCTAAAGGTTAAAAATTGGTCAGGACACTCTATACGCGCTCAAATAATGCTGTGTCAACTTTAACATTCATCTGAACAGACAAGGGCAGTGCAGCTACAAAGGGACACCAGATGGAGTAGTGAGGGACAGCAGCACTGACTCAATTGCATGTTGAAGCTGCACAGTGGGTTTTGAGCCTACAAACTTCAGGAGCTGGAGTGAGAGCCCTGCTACTCAGCTGTCTTAACCAGATTCAGGCAACACTTTTCTTTGCAGATTCTGGGTTCAGGCATGGCACAAACTTACATCTTTGGCAACACCCGTGTGGATAAGATCCCTCAAGAACTTCATGATACTGCAGTTGGCATCCCGGTGGTCAAGAATGACAGCTGCAATGGCACAGTTCAGGATGTGAATGATGATCTGACTCTGTAAAAGTGTGGTCGGGCTCCGCTGAATAAATCTGCATGGGGAAAGAAAGGGGAACTCCATAAATAGTTGCAGGGACATTTCGTGTTAGGTGAAACTCTAGAAGATGCAAAAATGTTTTAGAAAAGTGGTACCGAGAGATCATACTAATCAGAAAAGACTGAACATGCTGAGCAGTTTTCTCTTGGAACAGCCTGAGAGATGACCTGTAATGACGTCTTCACGATTATAAAAGGGTTTAATAAAGAAGGTGTAGAAAATATTTCCCCCACTTGTGACCCTGAGCAAAATCAAGGAGTATATAATACATGGTACCCTTTGGGGTCTTGTGGCACAGTGGTAGTGTCCCACTTGTCTTGGAGGTGTCATATAACATGTCCAAACAAGTTGACTAAAATAACTACAACCATGAGGTAGCCATTAATACATTCAATTAAAAATACAAGAGACAGTTCTTTGCTCAATGAGTGGTTAGAACGTGGAACTTGCTACACATTCAAATGTGTATGGGGTAATTAAGACAAATAGCAGGAAACTGAATATTTGAAAGAGAAAACATAGAAGAATGTACGGAGGGTGTTAAAAGGCTGATAGAAAAATAAGTCCATCATTACTAAAATGAAACATTTTATTAGCATACCACACGTTTGGAAGGTAAGTTCTGCAAAATATTTTTGCAAACTTTCACAGATTATGCAACATGACAATATTGACCTACATTTACAATGCCACTATTCAAGTTTGCTACCAAGCATTCAAGAGATTAAATGCAGACAGCCTCAGCAGACAGACTCAAGTCAGTATGTAATGATCCTTCTAATCTTAGAAACAAAGATCTGAATAAATATCTGGTTTGGAATAGACTGAAGTTAACTAACACATCAAATTTTAAGTGTACATCTATTACATTGCGAAAACAAAAGCCTGGGAACACAAGGTTTTTTTTTTAAATAGAGTGAATTTGTTATGGGCTGGTATGCACTGCCTGAAAGGATAATGGAAGATGATGCAAGAGTAAATTTCAAAAGGATAATATAAAGAAAACATTTGCAAGGCTGTGGGGAAAGAAGTGGACAGTGGTTTTAATTGGATCCCGCTTTCATGAGGCGGAGGGGTTCAATTGGTTAAAATGTTTCCTCCTGTGTTGCACGATTCTCCAACAGGCACTGAGGTCAGATGTTAGAATCACAGAATCAAGGAATCCCTGCAATGCAGAGGGAGGCCATTCGATCCATTGAGTCTGCACCGTCCCTCTGAAACCATTGGAGTTTCACCAGCAGTTTCTGTTTTTGAGGCAGGACTAAATACTTCGCTCAGGCAGATGAAATGATAGAAACACCTTCCCACAGAAGAGTCAATGCTTGGGAGATATGGTCAAAGAGAGATATACAAATATATTAAACCACCAACAGTGCCAAGCAAGCCCTATCACATCCTTGCCAGACAACAGAATACTCTACAAAATCTTCAAAGTACCTGGTTGCTAGACGGAAAAGATCATCCACTGTGTCTGGGTGATCCCGAAGGCCATTTGGCTGTTCGAGCAGTTGAAATGTTGGCATGCACAAGGCCTGCAAAAAAATAGTCAAGAGTTAAAGGGACATGCCTGTTGGCCAGAGAAAGATAGTCACCACTGCTACCTACCAGGGAAGGATGACCCACCTTGGATGCCCTTTCTCACCTGTAATTCAGTAATGCTAAATCCAAATGTAGCATACCTGCCCTGACAGATCAGACGTTGCCTTCACCAAGTTGTCAGCCAAAGGATAAACATGGAGACTTGTCTGAATGCAGCACAATAAATCACCCATTCTGTTGTGGCAAAATACTTCAGACTTTTTAAATACTGAGAAAGAATCAATGAGTCAAAACTCATTGTGCAGGATATCACTGAGGCTGCAGAGCATGGTGCAGCAGTGTTAGAAACACAGGCCCCATTAAGAAACAGTGATGCGTATTGGACAAGTTTTGTTCTTCGGGCTCCAGTAAGGGGTCTTGTGGCACAGTGGTAGTGTCCCTATCTTAGAGCCAGGGGACCAAGAGGGATGTTGTAACACATCTGAATAAGTCAGTCAATTAAAAATATCTGCAAACTGGATTCTCCCTCAATGTTGGCAGGGAAGGGGTCAATAAGGGAAAGGCAGAAACTGGTGTTTGTGCCAAACTACAGACTTACACTAAAATTCTTGTAAATCTTAAAATTTTTTACCACTAATTGAACATATGGATATCGGTCAGTTAAACAGAGAGAGGCCAATCAGGTGATACAGTGTCCAGCTCTAAAAGACTGCAAAAAGGATGAGATAGCATTGAGGAGCTCCACAATTCTGCAAAGTCCAAGTCCAAGCCCAAGCAGGAGACTATGAAGAGTCTCAACTCTATGGAACCCACTTTCAATAGCATCAACACTTACTTTCACGCCTTTGCGCTGAGTGCATTTGTAATTGTCTTCACCATTGTAAATGTTCCAAGGTGGCTTATTCCAGCATTATCACACAAAAATCAACACAGTCAGATATACAGATACTAGCACTGGTCTCAAAATGCTCAGTGAGAAGACAGTTTGAAGAGATTTTTCCACAAAGCAGAGAGGGGTAGAGAGCAAACATGTTTGGGAAGAAATTCCAGAGTTTACGGCCTAGACAGCACAAAGCATAACCACCAATGGTGGAATAATAGATGTTGAAAATGCCCAAAGAATGCAGGCAACTGCATTCCTCTCTCATTGATGCACTATTAACCCTGTCCTACCCTCCAAACCCCTCCGGAAAAGTTGACACAAAGCATCCAATTGTAAGGAGACCCCACACCATGCCTTCTCGAGGACTAATTTCTTCAGCAATGACAGAAGGTTTCTTGTGGCACTGGGCTACTAAATCCTACCTGCACCATGTCCAGAAGTCCCTGTCGACAGCCTTCTTCCATTCCATATTCATCAACCAGGATACTGCCCAGGTAGAGGAAGCAAGAATGTGGATGTACTCGATAGACATTAACCATCTACATGGAGAGGAAAAAGAGGAGAATGAGTGGGAGCAATAACAAACATTGCACCTCCACACTGATAATTACACAGCCCCAAGTCTTAAATTTGCAACTTCTCTCATAGAATACCCTTCAGTTTTTGTCTGCTACCAGATCATGCAGTCATGCTTCATCTTGATTTCTCACTTAAATTTCTGATGTTGTCGTTTTGCACTTTAAAGGAAAAAAAAACCTCAAATTTAAGCATGTAAAAAGTTTCAAATTACTTCTGGACAAGGGTTAAATATCCTGTAACCACGCCACCCTATCATGAAGGTACCTATTAAAGACAGAAGTCACTCTCCCCTCTTCTACTTTTCAATGTTTTGCTTTCATCATTTCTTAAGAGAACAAAAGAATCATCCAGTTG